CCATACTGTTTTCCACAGTGGCTGCACCAAACTGCATTTCCACCAGTAGTGTAGGAGGGTTCCCTTTTCTCCACAACGTCTCCAGCATTTATCATTTGTGGACTTCTGAATGATGGTCGTTCTGACTGGTGTGAGGTGATACCTCATTGTGGTTTTGATTTGCATTTCTCTGATAATTAGTGATATTGAGCAGTTTTTCATGTGCCTATTGGCCATTTGTATGTCTTCCTTGGAGAATTGCTTGTAGTCTACATATTTTAAATACTTTCATTTGTGTTTTTTATTTACTATAGAGTTACTGGTTTATTTTCTAAATTTGCTTTATTTCTAAAATTTATCCAAAAAACAAAAGATTAGATGGTCTTTTTTGTTAGCTATTTGGCAGTGCATACATCCAACTGTAGTTGTACCTTTTGTATGAAGAGGACCAGAGAGTTTTTAGCCAAGAAATCTCAGCCCCAAAATATGGAAGAAATTCTTAACTCTTCAACCAGTAAAATAAAACTACACAGTAAGGACCTGACTCTCAAAGAGCCAATGAGGTTGCCCAGCTTTCCTGCCTCACCCCATCCAACTCAATTCCCTCTCTTAACTAGGCATGTGCGCGCACGCACACACACACAGCCTTTCAAACTAATGGAAAGCACCAGCCTAAGCAGATGTAGCCTCTAGGACCTTCCTTGGAGCTGGGAAAGCAGCCAAAGAACTGACATTCGAAAGAATTCCTTTCTGTGCTCACTTCAGCAGCACATATACTAAAAAAAATAAAAATAAAAAAAAATAAAAAAAAATCCTTCCTGGGTGATACTAGAAGTATGAATAAGTAAGGACTGTTGGGCAAGGGTAGCAGGAGTTAAGAGTTAAAGAAATCATTACAGTAGGTGCTAACTTTTGAAACAAGCTACAATCAGAAGTTAAACTCTGAGAGAGGAATCCAGCATTTATGCCTGTCAATAGAGGATCTACCCACCAGTTTCCACACCTCCCCAGCCCCTGCTGAACCCTCTGCTCTTAACGCTGTGCTAGAAAGAAAAAGATAACCTACAAAATGCAAAGGAGAGAATATAAGCCCTGGCCCTAATCCCATACCTGTTTCCACCATGGAGTATTAGAGCTACCGGTACTGGATGAGCAGAGGGAATGGAAATAGCTACGTAATCTCACATGTAGTAAAAAACAGAAATCCCAGAATTACTGGAATTAAGAAAACAGGCTCCAGAAAATGAAAACAGACGATACTGGAGGGACAAACTAGGAAATCCTCAGTTAAGCAGAGAGAAAAAAAGGTAGGCAGCTGTGCCCGCCTTGTCCACACACTATCCATCTTTCTTACCTCATTGTTCATGTAATGTAGATCAAGAGGCTGCCCAAACACTGTCGTCACCTTGTGCTCCACATCTTCGTATCTTACAGGCCGGCTGAATGCTATAATTCTGAAAAGGAGTAGGAAGTGTGGTTAATTGTATATTTTAAATGCAGGGTTTAGAAAGCTACAGCTTCTGAGTGATGTCTTCCTTTTCTTTTTCAACATAGAATTCTTTCTCTGTATTCTTTTTCTTCTCTTATCTACCTTTATCTTTTCACCCTTCTTCTTAGCATCTCTCAGGTTTGCCAGTAGTACCTACAAGCAGTACTCAATCCCAACCATTGTTCCACCAGTTTAGCTCAGATCTTTCTGTCAACAACAGTTCACTACATAGCAGGACACCTGGATTTTAAAGCTATGTTCCAAAGACTCTTGTTAGGAAGAAAACCTGGAGATTGGAGCAGCAGTCCTAAAAAAATGGTCTTAACTCAATCCCAGGACTTGAAAGGTCTTTTCCATTGTCCATTTCAGAGATGCCACAGGAATCTCAATGCTGATTTCCTCAGAATTGACATTTCCTACCACAGAGTCACAGGAATTTCCCTTGAGCTTGGTTATGTGCCTGATCAGTCTTCTTAACCAGTGACACATGTGAGCATGTAAGTAGTGTTGATATTGATGTTTTTCTATAAAGACTCATCAGATCAGTTCAAAGAACAATTTCTATAGAGAGTAGAATAAGAGCATGTTCAAAGAGGGAGGCCTTAAAATGATTTGTCATTAAATGTCACAACAAAATGTAAAAGTGGTGAAAGAGGAAACAAGGCTGGCAAAATGTTGATAATACTGAAGGTGGGTGACAGATCCATGGAGTTCAGTATAATATTCTACTTTTGTGTATGTTTGAAATTTCTTTAAAAAGTTCTAATCATTGTAGTAGGTTTAACTATATGATAATGGAGATGGTCAAAAATTTTGATGTACAAAAGTGGCAATTTCATATGGATCCAACCCCATACTCTAAAATTTAAATAATTAAAACAAAAATAGGTAGGGAGATACAGCTCAGTGGTAGAGCACATGCTTAGCATGTACAAAGTCCTGGGTTCAACCCCTAGTACCTCCTCTAAAAATAAATAACTAAATAAATCCCTGGGTTCAATCCTCAGTGCCTCCTCTAAACATAAATAAATAAATAAACCTAATTACCTACCCCCTCCCCCCCAAAATAAGCAAAGAGATAAACAAAACAGAAGAAAATATCAGAAAGAAACATATATATTCTTTCTCTCTAATATATATAAAGGAAAATATAGGATTAAAAAAATATTGGAGCAGAGGTCTTCCTAAGTATTATATAAAATACAGAAAACCAAAAGACAAATTTGACAACAAAAATTTAAACTTTTGATGCCAAAATAAACCATCAACAAAGTTAAGAAGACAAACATCAAACCTGGAAAAATCAGTAAGAAAAAGACAACCCAATAGAAACATAGGCAGAGAATATGATGAGACAATTCACAGGAAAGTTATGAATGATTAATAAACACATGAAAAGATGCTTAATGTGATGGGGAAAAATGTATACTAAAGCCACCTCCATCTCTCAGGATGCCTACGCTGGATGAAATGTGACTAGTGTGTGATGGACTAGCAGCACTCAGCCATGAGCCTCTATAGTTCTTGCCTTCCTCTCTGCTGAGAGGAAGAAGTGTGTAGTTCTTTGGTCCCCTGCTTCCCCAGAGTGGGAAGTGCTCTAACCAGAGGAAGAAGCAATAAGCCACAGGAAAGAGGGATCTAAGCCATGGGGCTGTAATGGAATCTGACCAGTTTCTTTAATGTTCTTCCGTGTCAGGCTGGCTCAGATCAGTGGGCAGCATAAAACCCTTCATCATCTAGAACTGTGCTGTTCAACATGGTAGCCACTAGCTACATGTGGCCATTTAAATTCAAATTAACTAAAATTAATTTTTAAAATTGGCTCTTTCAGTTCTATTAGCCACACTGCAAGTGCTCACTAGACACATGTGGCTAGTGGTTAGTATGTTGGAAAACACAACTATATAGTCAGCCCTCCATATCTGCAGGTTCCACATCCACAGATAGAAAATGTTAAAAACAAAACAAACAAAAAACCTCCAGAAAGTTCGAAAAAGCAAAACTTGAATTTGCCGCATGCTGACAACTATTTACATAGCATTTACCTTGTATTTACAACTATTTACATGGAGTTTATACTGTATTAGGTATTTAAGTTATCTAGATAAAATTTAAAGAACACAAGAGAATGTGCATAGGTTATATGCAAAGATTGTGCCATTAAAATTTTTTATTTGAAGTATAGTCAGTTTATAGTGTGTCAATTTCTGGTGTACAGCATGTTTCAGTCATACATATACATACATATATTTATTTTCATATTCTTTTTCATTATCGGTTACTACAAGATATTGCATATAGTTCCCTATGCTATACAGTATAAACTTTTAAAATCTATTTTATATATAGTAGTTAGTATCTGCAAATCTCAAACTCCCAGTTTATCCCTTCCCACCCTCTTTCTGCCCAGGAACCATGTTTGTTTTCTATGTCTGTGAGTTTGTTTGTTTTGTAAATAAGTTCACTTGTGTCTCTTTTTCAGATTCCACATTTAGGTGATATCATATGGTATTTTTCTCTTTCTGGCTTACTTTACTTAGAATGACAATCTCCAGGTCCATCCATGTTGCTCCAAATGGCATCGTTTTATTCTATTTTATGGATGAGTACTATTTCTCTGTATGTGTGTTTGTGTATATGACAACTTCTTTATCCAGTCATCTGTTGATGGACATTTAAGTTGTTTCCATGTCTTGGCTATTGTATGTAGTGCTGCTATGAACACTGGGGTGCATTGTATCTTTCTGAATTAGCGTTCACTCCAGATGTATGCCCAGTGGGACTACTGGATCATATTTTAAGTCTATTTTTAGCTTTTTGAGGAATCTCCATACTGTTTTCCATAATGGCTGCACCAAACTATATTCCCATCAACAGTGTAGGTTTCCCTTTTCTCCACATCCTCTCCACCATTTATCATTTGTGGACATTCTGATGATGGCCATTCTGACTGGTGTGAGGTGATACCTAGTAGCTTTGATTTGCATTTCTCTGATAACTAGTGACACTGAGCATTATTTCATGTGCCTATTGGCCATTTGTATGTCTTCATTGAAGAACTGCACGTTTAGGTCTTCTGCTCATTTTTGGATTGGGTTGTTTGTTTTTTTCTTATTAAGTTGTATAAGCTGTTTGCATATTCTGGAAATTAAGCCCTTGTCAGTATCATCATTTGCAAATACTTTCTCCCACTCCATAGGTTGTCTTTTTGTTCTGTTTATGGTTTCCTTTGCTGTGCAAAAGCTTGTAAGTTTAATTAAGTCTCATTTGTTTATTTTTGCTTTTATTTCTATTGCTTGGGTAGACTGCTGTAGGAGAACACTGCTAAGATTTATGTCAGAAATGTTTTGCCCATGTTTTCTTCTAGGAGGTTTACAGTGTCTTGTCTTGTGTTTAAGTACGCCATTTTACATAAAGGATTTAAGTACCCAAGGAGTTTGCTATTCACAGAGGGTCCTGGAACCAATTTCCTCAGACACCCAGGGACTAGTGTAAAACATTTCCATTATAGCAGAAAGTTCTATTGGACAACATTGATAGGATATTACTATAAACCATAATCTGTCCTTCACACAAAGCCTAATATCCCAGGAAGATAATTTCTCTACAACTTTTCCTTCATCCATCACTACCTTTCATTTTTGAAAATTATATTGAATATATTAGTTTATATCCACTGGGAAATTCATCCATATTATGATCCTTATATTTTTTCCCTCAAACCAACTGTCTTAAGCAATAATTAGGTGCTATCTAGATTGAGTGTCTAGATATGAGTGTTTTCTGAATACTTCTGAGAGAACAGCTTTCTATTAATTCCTAACAGTAAATCATACTTCCTTCATCAGAACCTCAGCAACAGTTCAAAAGGGGCCAACCTTTCTGAATAAAATACCAGGAGACCACTCAGATGTCCCTAGCACACCATTAGGAAAAGATTAGGCTCAGAGATAAACTCTCTGCACTTAGCCTGGTGACAAGCCATTCATAGTCCCTCAAAGCAGCCCAAATGTCTGGTCAAGATCAGAAACCAGGACTTCCAGGTCTGATAAGATCTAAGCTGCTGCCATCACATTAAATAACAGGCATTTTTAGACCAGTGCTTCAAAGAGGGGTCTAACACCCAGGACAACCACCTCCATTAGTGTCCAGACATGAAGGGAAGGAGATTCTAATCTACAGTCCTCTTCCATCCTCCTGGAGCTAAGAGGGAGGAGGGTTAGGAGTTTGGTCCCCAGCCTTCCTAAGCAAAGGGGAGGTCAGCCCACCAGAACAGACATTTGGCAAAGACAAATGGGAAAAGTCACTATTTCTTTCCTCTTTTCTGTCAATTCTAATTCTATAAGGGCCTACAACATTTAGATAGATAGTATCTACATTCCCAGTAAACAGTAAAGAAAGCCCACAATAACATTCTCTACAAAATCCTAAGACATGAAATATGTGAAACCAGAGCTGTCTGGCAGACAGTAGCTTGAACTTGGCTTCCCTATACAAACTCTATGAAGTCCTCAATTCCACACATAGTACACAAACAGTGAAATGCCGTGGCTCCTGAAAACAGCCCCATAAAGAGAGAATGTATAGTTTTCAAAACCTTGATACCAACACTGCCGCTCAGGGCTTCAAAAGGCCATTCCTGCCTGACCACCTTAAATATTTGTGGTTTCGATCTGGCAGTGTCTCTAAAACTGAACACACACACTTTTTCAGTGTAAGTCCGCTCACTGTAACTGCATACCACTTTGGGAACAGGAATTCAGGAGAGTGTAACTGTGTAATTAGGCTCCAACACAATTGAGCTTTTGATTTCATATCTACTTCTGAAAACTCTCAGCTGCTCCAGGTTTGGCAATCCCTCCAAAAACCCAGCCAGGTCAGAAGTATGAGTCAGAAGTATGAAAAACAGCAACAATGAAGTGACAATTTAACTTCCGTGCTACTGGAAGGACACAGGATGAGCAGCTAGGGACAGAGCTCAGAAGACTTTCTTCCCTGTAGGCCTGTAACAGCCCTAGAGGCCACATGGCAACAGCAGGAACCTGGCTCTGCAGACCACTTTAGCACAATGTTTCCATCGGGCAAACTTTGACAACCTGCAGGAAAGTGAACATATCTTTTTTAAGGGAGAATAGCAGCCATAGATCTCCTGGGAAGCTAGCCTCAAAGTGGGCTGAAAGATGCCAGCAGCAGAGAACTACCAGTACAAGAACGTTTGAAGGTACTAAGGTCCTCTGGTGGGACTTGTAAAGTAGGAGGATCTTATCCTCATGGGTATGCTCTTTGCCCCTCCAAATGCTCAAAGCCAAGGAAAAAGGGCTGGGGGCATGGGTATGTAGGGGGGAGGGGTGGTTATCAATGGGACAGAAAGGCAAAGAGTGGGAAGCAGATACTGAAAAGCATACTTACATGCATACATGCCACACATATGCACACACAGGGTCTCATATATCCCACGACCAGAGTTCTGTATGCTTTCTTAAAGTTCTTCCTTAAAATAACTTGAGAAATTAAATGGAATCATATTTTTTCCCACTGAGAACTTCTGCCTTGACTTTCTACAAGAAACTAAATACTGACAATGGAGTAAAGGATAAGAAGAGTTTTGTAACATTACTTTCATTTCCCTGACAAGGTAAGATATATTGACTGAGAAACGCCCTCTCTCTGTGTCTTCAAATGATCTGAAATCTTTCACAGTGGAGGGAATTGCTGCAGTTTCCCATGACCTAGACACATTATAAGGAAACTTTCAATTCACCAGCCTGACCCCTGATGGGGACAAAACCAGGGACACTAATCCCAGGAATGGGAATGGCACCACGTCACAGGAGAACCCTCATCTCTCTCTGGTGCCCACCGGTGGCACAGTGTCAGTGTGTCTGGAAGCCATGACTCAGTAGAGCTGGAGTCCTGACTTCCTCCCTGAGTAAAATGGCAGATCTCACAGTAGCAGAATAAAAGCAAAAGAGTAAAACCTTAGCAGTTGACTTCCAATTCGAAGACCAGAAACAAAAGTTCAATTGATAGGCCAAGCCAAGAGTGAAATTTTCCCCTTGATGCCCAATAAACCCCATTACCCAGCCAGTGGCCCCATGGGGATCACTCCAGGAAAACAGCTTCCACAAGCTGAATGCTTTCTGAGGAATGCAGCACACATGAACACAACCACTGATAAGAAGGCAGACTTACCGCCGCTCCCCGTTGTGCTCAAACTTGATTCTGACGTCACTCTGCCAAAGAAATGATAAACAGGTTACGGGGGTTCTCTGGCTTGTGTCACTCCCGCCCTTCCCAGGTAAGCCTCAGGCAGTCCTTTAGCAACATCAGGCAAACATCCCTGATGGCCCCTGTTGGAGCTTCTCTACCGGACAGGCATTCCTTCCAATGAGTTGTAGCCTTCCAGTTCTAACCTCAGGGGCAATAAAGCTCTTGGGACAAGATCCCCAGGGGCTGCCCCAGCTCAGGTCCTCTGCTCTGATATGTCATTTGGAAGTTCACACTCTCTGTTCCCATAACTGGCTCTGGAGTTTCTCTCCCACCATATCACTGCCTCCTGGCCAGGATACTTTTCCTTCTTGGCTGATGTAACTAAACAGAAAAAGAAATCTTAATACTGATACTTCCTAGCTATATGACCACAAGCAAGTAACTTATCCTCTGTGAGTCTTAGTTTTTCCATCTAGAGTAGGCCTAAACACACTTAATTTGCACAGTTGCTATGAGAACTAAAAAAGAAAATGTAAGTAAAATACCAAATACATTGTAGACGAGTGATAAGTTGCTGCTGCTGCTGCTAATTTCCACGATCCTTTCAAGGCTACTCAAGTGGGCGTAAAGTGTGACCCTGGACAAATACCTTATAATTGCCCCCAGCTTTAGCCTAAATGTCCATCATGGGTACCCTCTAAGCTCCAGGAGGACAGGAATCATGTCCATCTTGCTTCTGTAGCCCAGTGACAAGCAAAGGTTGGTATATGAAAAGAGTTGGGTGCAAGTATCTGAAATAAGAGGAAGTAGAAGTGTTAGAATGTTAAGGAACAAATCAAGGAGGAAAAGATACTGTGAAGGGCAAACAAACATCCTGAGGCATTAAAGATGACAGGAGAAGGGAAGAGATTTCACAGAAGAAAAGAACAGGTAAAGAGAAAAAGAAAACTAAGATTGTTAGGAAACCAACAAGTAATAAACATGAAGGTAAGAAAGAGTTCATAGTCAGTGATGAATATCATTATAATTCTGTATAATGAAAATTATACTGAGATAGACAAATTAAAAGATTGTGTGGTTTGGAAGAAAGAAGAGGGTTTCAGAGTATTTGAAGATGAAGAACACAGAGCAGACAGAGAAAACAACAGAAAAGGGAAAGCTGACAGGTAGGGTGGGTGCACAAAGGATTTCTTTTTCCCAAGAGATTTGGGGGGCTACACTTCTCTTCCAGTCAAGAACTAGACCAGTGGTTCTAATTTACACTCTAAAAATAATTGAGGACCCCAAAGAGCTTTTGTTTATGTAGATTGTATCTACTGATATTTGCCATATCAGAAATTAAAGTTGAGAAAATTCAAATTTATCTTACTCATTTTAAAATAATTAAAAGTCATTACATGTTAAGTTAACATAAATACATTTTAATTTAAAAACTATGTTTTTTAAAAAGTGAAGTGAGAGAATGCAAATCTCTTTAACGCATGGCTTAATAGGAGGCAGCTGGATTCTCATATCAGCTTCTGTTTTCAAACTGTTGTGATAATACTCATCATGCAGTTTCTGGAAAACTCTACGTTCCTAAGCGTATGAGGGTGAAAAGGGCATTATTACGAAATAGTTTTGACCTGATGGACCCTCTGATAGGTTCTCGAGAACCTCCTAGGGGTTCCGAGAACACAGCTAGAGGGTCACTAAATTAAAATATGAGTACAACCTCTAACCCGTTATTTTAAAGACAAGGAAATAGAGGCTCAATGAACTTCATATCCCTGAAAAGTTCACATAATAAATAGTGGACAGCAAAGCTCCCCTGAGGAGCAAGACTGCAATGTGACAGTTCTTCAAAATAACAGCCCTGATACAGCTCTCATCCTTTGATGTAATATATGGACCACTTTATCCATTAATAATAATATGACAAGAGCTAACAATTATTGAGCATATACTATATACTAAATCTTGTTCTAAACATGTTGCATATATTGATTAAACTAACTCTATTTTCCAGGAGAAACTGAGTTACAATGAAGTTATATCAGTCCTCTCAAGGTCACAGTGCTTTAAGAGAAGAACCAAGATTCAAACCCTGGAAGCCCAGATATGCTACAACTTAAGTGTCACACAGGCAAGGGAGGTTTATTTTACTCACAGATGCAGGGCTTCAATGGGAACAGTGAAAGAAACTATAAAAGAATCTTTTGAGACCTTACTTTTCAGAAATCATGGAGGAGATGAAGTAATAATGGAGTCAAAATCAGGAGATCAGGGTAACAGTCATGCAGGAAGCAATGAGGCCTGGGGAACCAGTAGGGGAGGCTTTGGCTGAGGTTGTGAGTGGATGAAGATGAAGGAGGTGTAATGGAAAGGCACTGTGCGCCTTCCGGTCTACATTCTTGGTGAGAGAGTGAATGTGGGTGTGTGTGTGCATGTGTGTATGCACCTGCATATGCACAGGCACCTGAGCAGAAAGATGGGCACTGCTGCAGAGGAGATTATCACATAGATTCAAGGCATGGACAAGTGACAGCAGTTTTTTCACTGTCTTTTTTTTCTCCTTCCCCTGAAATGCTAAGCCCTTCCCATGGCAAGGGCCTTCCAAAGCATGATGCCTGCGACACGCTACCACAAAGTGACTTGCCATCTCCAGCTTCCCACCATCCAGTTCCACAACTAGCTCTGGACCATTCCAAGTGCTCAGCGCAGTTTACAGTCCTGCCCGTCCCTGTAAGTAGGTTACCACATCCTTTCACCTACTCCTGCTTACAGCCTGGCATAAACTTGGTGGAGCTCTCATTATTATTTTATTAATAGATTGTATTTTTAGAACAAATTTTTAGATTTACAGAAAAACTGAGCAGATAGAGCAGAGAGTGACCATATACCCTTCTCCCCCTCCCCAACCCCAGTTTCCCCTATTATCACACATTAGTATGGCACATTTCTTACTACAGTTAATTAACCCATACTGATATAGTAAATAAAGTCCATAGTTTATGCAGATTTCCTTAGTTTTTTCCCCCTGTGTTGATTAAAAAAATGTTTTATTCCTCTGCTGATTTTTATCTAATTTTCTAATAGTAATAAAAAACACATAGCTCTCTTCCTTAAACTGGGACACTATATTCAGATGCAACAGTGAAGGAATCCCCTCTGTCCCTTTGTGGGACTGAAGGAAGTAAATCTATTTCACAATGGGCCATAATGTAAATACTATTCTACATGAATTTAGTCAGAAAGGGAATCAAACTTGTGCCTCAAGCCACAAATCACTCTTACTCAAGACTAATCTAGCCTATGATTAGTAAGCAGTGAAAGCAAAGATGCCTAGACTTTGAATCCCTTATCTGACGTGGTAACAGCCTTTCCAGAGCAAGGTGCAGGCCCATGACTGACTTCATGTACCGCATGGTGTGCCCAAATCTGCCTAGTTCCTAAATCTCAGTTTCCCGTGTCAGACTGACTAGAACAAGCCATGGACAAGAAAGTTCAGCTAAAGACAACTGGCTTCAATTCCTCCCTGCCAACCATCATCCTGGCCTCTCTGAGGCATTTCACACTGGTGGCCACAACCTCTGTCATGAGATTCCCTCCCCTTGGCCTCTGTGACTCCACCCCAACCCAGAGAGCTGCCACCACTCTAACCACTTCTGCTTCTTTGCTGATTCCTCTTCCTCATGCCTTCTCTCACCCCTCCCCCAACGTGTGACTGTTCCTCAATGTTTGGACTTTTGGCCTCTGGATTTCTCTCCCTCTTCTCACATCCTCTCCTCAGAAGGAATTTTTTTAAAAAATCAAGCAACCTCTAAACAGAAGATTCCCAAATCTCTATGTCCAGTCCCAACTTTTCTAGCAAAACCTCATCTGTCTGCCACATATTTGAGGCAGATAAGTCATTGTTAGGAATACAGCACTAGAGTCAAACTACCTAGCTTCAAATCCTAACTCTACAACCTCCTTATTGTAACCTTGAACTTGTTACTAATCTCTGTGAGTCAGTTTCCTCATCTGTAAAGTGAAAATAGTGATAGTATCTATCTCTTGGAGTTATCAAAATAATTAAGTGAAATGACTGGGTAAAGATATGAGAAGAGTACCTGACACAAAATAAGTGCTCAATCAATGATAATACAGGTCCATTACCCTTCAGCCAAAACCTCTGGGGCCACGAGTGTCTCAGAACGCACATCTGGGTCTAGAGAGGTAGTGGTACATGTTCTCTACATTAAGTGATACCTCCCCCAGGGGGAGGGTGTCTGGGCAGCACTCCCACAGCAGAGGCCCGAGCGCTCGCGGGTATTCCGGGCACATCTCTGCATTGCTTAGCCTCTCCTGAAGTTAGCCTGGGGCTTTGTAACTAGTTCTGACCAAGAGCTGGGAACAGAACTGACTTCTTTACTCTCTTCCTTGGCAGCCACGTGCTCCAGGTCAGTGGAGCCATCCCCAATCAGGAACCCAGGACTGTGGGAGCACTGTCCTCACCTCTCTGTGCTGAACATGTTGTGTAAAGTCACTAAGATTTAGGGTTTATTTGTTAACACAGCCAACACAAGTTTTTGTAGAGAAAAGTGTGACTATTCACAATAAGTGGAATAAGTAACGATTATAAACAACCCTGAGTTTGTTTAGGCAAATTCTGTTGCCAAATGAGTCTGCTACAAATTAAACAAACCAACAAAACCCAGCAGCAACCACCCTTTTAGCTTGTAGTACTCTCTGGATTTCAGAACTGCAGATATGTGACTGTGCACCTGCAAAAGCCACACACACAGTCTCAGAGTCCTTCACTGTAACCACAAGCTCAACCCTGCCATGTCTGTATGCATCAACTACCCACCTAAACTAGTCTGCCTTCTCAGTGTTGCCATTTCTCACACTGGCTACAGGCTCAAACCGCTGAGTTCTGCTTGATTCTTTCCTTCCTTTCCCTTCCTCACAGCCAGACAGCAAGTTCCAGTTCTCCTCTCGAGGGATCCCAGCGTGAGACTCTGCTTCACATTCTCTCCTGGCCCTTACTCTTTCTGAG